CCCGTGTGAGTGTGTGTGTGTGTGTGTGTGTGTGTGTGTGTGTGTGTCTAGGGTTCCTTAGGGGGACGTTGCCACCTCCCTCCAGCCATCGCTGCGACTTTGGAGAAGTTTGTACTTGGGCTCTTGCGGGCGGTGGCTCAGGTTAGGGAGAAGAGAAAGTGCAACTACGTGTGTGTGTGTGTGTGTGTGTGTGTGTGCCCGCGTGCACTTCCTGAGTACCTTTGCGACTATTGGCTAGGGGCTTTGAATGAGGGGGAGCGCCCCTGGAAGTTGAGCTGGAGTCAGGGGGGACCAGAGGTGGTGGGGGCCAAGGGACCTTACGGTCCCCCACAGGCTGGGGACTTCCGTGGAGTAGAGGGACCAGGACCTCTCCTTCCTTACCCTGCCTGGCTAAGGGTACACCTAGAGGAAGCTGAGACCAGGAGAAAGAGAAACCCGGGGGCCAGCGAGTCTGACATGGGCGGGGCCACGAAGACGCTGCTTCTCTTGCAGAACATGTTGGTGCACACTTAGAAAGCACAGACGTTTGAAGGGAAAACAAACCCAACTGGACCCAAGTACATTTTTGGCCCCTTTGCTAGGCAGAAGCAGGCAGAGGTTCCCTCTGGCCTCTTCATCCCCTTTGCCTGGTGCACGGGTGTTTCAAGGTCCCACTCCCCAGCCGTCATGGGCTTCTGAAGGTTGAAGAAGATGGAAACCAGCCAGGAGGCCTGCCCAGGTGGGGGGGCTGTGGGAGTCCAATCCCCAGCAGGTGTAGTTGCTTTGCTGCTGGGGGCGGGGAAGCCCAGGGTGCAGGCTGGGGCCCAGTGTGGTCAGGTTTAAACATTACACACCTGATAGAATGTGGCCTAGAGCTCTCGCCTGCCCAGGCTGGGCAAGGACATGCAGGCAGAGGTGACCTGCAGGGGAGCAGAGCTCTGGGTGGGCACTGGGGACTGAGCTTGCTGTGGGCCTCTCTGCTATCTTCTGGTTGTGATTTGTGCCCAAGGAGAAGGGTTGGACTGGGCATGTGGAGAACTATCCCTTTTGATAATAAATGGAATCTCTGGTTCCTGTTTGCCAGGGAAGAATCAACATCCTATTAGGGGGTGCACATTGGTTTGGGCTTTCGAGGCGTGAGTGTGTGTGTGTGTCCATCTCTGGGAGTCACCAGTATGTAATGAGCACATACTAAGTAGTGCGTGTTGCAAGCAGTTCCCACGGCATCACCTCCCAGCTTAAAAGTCAGTCAGTTGTTGTGAAAGGACCCTCAGCAACATGAGCCTCTACTTAGACTACGCAGGCTGGGGATCACCTGAGGTGGGTCCCAAAGGTCGAGGAGTTTATGAGTTACAATTTGAACATCTGTGGTCTTTGCTGCAGAAAAAATAGAGCGTGTACATGTGCTGTCCTATGTATGCATTACACATGTGTATAATGCACATGCTTGAGTGTAAGCTCAACACACTTAGGTGTGGATCCACTCATGTAATTTTCCACCACATGGATTTTCAGCACCTTAGGTGTTGCCTTGTCTCCCTTCCCAGTAAGGAAGTCCCCTGTCCTACCAACATAACCGTTGCTCTGATCTGTTTTGCTGCGGATTAGTGGTATCCAATTGAGGGTGCCGAGTGTCTTCTTTAGATCCACACTTACTGGTGTGATGGTTCTGTGCGCTGGTCTGCGTCCATGGTTCCTCTTCTTGCTGAGTTCCGGTCCACTCTGTGGGCCACTGTCTGGCGATCTGTTGGTCCACTGAGGGCCGAGTGGTCCAGAGGTGTCACGAGTGGATGCAGCCCGGTCCGTGTCCTTAGAGGGCATTGGCTCTGTGGAGGTGCTGGGTTGAGTGGCTTTGCTCTTTCCCAGCATGATGGAACACAGACTGGGAGTGGAGTGCGGGGTGGGAAACTGTCTTCTGTGACTTTTCCCTGGATGCTTAATGGACGCTTCCTTCCCTTGGTCCTGGGGCTCTCAGGAAGTCCCAGCTAAAGGTTCAAGTCCAGAAAGCACCCCATGCTGAGCTCAGAGCATTTGCAAGACCAGCTGGGGTTGTGGGCCAGCCAGATGCGTCTGGATGATCAGATGGGGGCCCCTGGCAAATTTGGGTGGGTAGCACTTAGGGAGGCAGGCTGCGCCCAGGCCAGGGGCTGCTTGGTAAGCTTTGCATTGACTCAGCACAGGTGGTTAAGGTCCTGGTCATGGCCAGCTGGGTAGAGTGGGAGCTCAAGAATCTGTAATCACGGGGATAAAGGAGGACTTCGACCCTTGACCCTGTTGTCAGGGTCAGGCAGTCATGATGCTTTGCAGAAAGCCCATCCTCTCTCCTGGTCCTGGACTCCTGGACTGGTAGATCTGGGGTCAGCAGTGATGGCCTGGAGGTGACAGCCTCTGGAACTTTGCATTTCTGGGAAGAATGGTTTGGTAATAGATATGTCTTCCTGCCTTGTATCTGTCTATATAAGCTGACTCAGACCTGTGCTGCCTCTGCTCATTTTTCACTTGGGTCCCTGGCCTGTCTCCCCCTCAGCTGTGGGGTTCTGGAGTCCATTGAACTGGGTTTGTGAATTGGGATGATCACCCCGCAAGGCATGCTGGAATGAAGACCCCTGACTTTCCTGTGGGGATCAGCTGGACAAGAAACATGGCTTCTCCCTGGAGATGTGTCGCTCTTTCACCACCCCCATGGGACACACTGCAGATGGGGGTCTCCAGGAGGTCTCACAGGGATGGCCATAAGACATTAGCAAGCAAAGGCTTCCTGGCAGGCATGGTTGGCCCTCTGGGCACAGACTGCCTGTGCCACCCTCACAAGATCCCTTGCAAGGAGACGGGGGTGGCCCAAGCTGCTGACCTTTTCAGAGGAGAGAAGATGGAATTGCAGGACATTGGTGGCCTCTGCCTGGAGGCCCCCGCTTCCTTGGAGCCATGTGGGATGGAATTGAAGTTAGAGGCATCTGGAGAGCTGTTTTGAGCCTCAGCTCTCTGCTGGCTGTAGGCAGGGAGGGCTGCAGTGACCTTCTGAGTCCAAGGCCACTCTGGTGCTCTGCCCCTCTTTGCTGAGTGCTCCACCCTTCTGGGCTCAATCTGTTGCAGGGTGGCAAGGGGGAGCGGGTGGGGTTTTGAAGATGCTCCTGTGTGTTGGGAGGCCCCAGATCTGCAGCCCTTCCCTGTCTGGCTTCACACGTGTGGGCCAAGATCGTCACATCTTACAGACACTGGAGGATGAAATCTGGTTGTTGTCACTGTCTTTAAGAAGCGCAGAGCTGTGATAGGCCCCTGGCCAGATGGGGGCTCAGGTTGCTTGATTCTGGCCACTCAGAGGTCAGCTCTGCTTTGGGCTTTTGAGGACAGATGCTCATTCTTGGTCTCCCTGGGCCAGAGTGACTGGGCTGGGCAGGTGGAGGTGCAGGCTGAGCTGGGTAGGGACAGAGAGATCCACTCCTGGCCTGTGGGCAGGGTCCTGTGCTGCCATTGGCCCTGCTAGCTGCTGCTCCCCACACCAAATTCCTACCCTCAGGCTGTTTGCCCAGGTCATGGGCCTGTGAATGAAGCTGGGATTGGAGCCCAGGTGGCACAAACCACCAGGAGCCTGTGAGCTGCCTGCCGTGGGCATACGGGAAAGGGCTTTGATCTTGTGCAAAGGGCCTCCCAGGGGAGGGGATGCTGGACCTGGGCACACTTGGTTGCTGAGTTCTGTGTGGACCAGGAGGGAGTTGCTGGTTTGGCCTGAAGGTGGGCTCCGAGGCAGGACAGTGCTGAGGGTCCTAGAAGGTTCTGCACTTGCCCATGTTGAGTGTCCCCCTTCCCCCACGGTGTCCCTCCTCGTGCTGTCTGGATGCCACACTGATGGCTCTAGGCTCTGGGCCTCACTGAACCTCCTTTGAGCCACCCACCACCCTACCCACCTAAATGTGCCCCCTGTAAGCCTTCAGCCAAGTGTGTGACCTGTAGCCGATCTTCCTGCCTGTGAGTTGAAGCACAACGTGGTGACTGGGGTAGACCAGTAGCATCCTGGGCTTCGAATGCCAGGGTAAGAAAAGGATAGGGTTGCTTTGGCCTGGTGTCGAGGCACCTGAGAGCTA